TAGCCGCTAGCCGTGTGAAATCCTATCTTTTACTGGGAAAATATGGGATTGTCAATCAATCGATGATAACCCTCTGGTAAACAAACATAGCTATTGAAAATGTCCATTGAAATAGTGGATTTACCATGAAAAATATATCGTGATTTTCCAGTTCGCAAACTGTAAACGTTTACCAGGCCGGGTATGTTCCATTGCTGGGTGACAAAAAAATGGAGGATCAAAATCCTAAAGAAAACCCCTGAAATTGGATGCAATTCTGGGCAGTGGACACAACCTCCCTGCCCCTTGGACCTTCTAATGGAAAACGGGTGCAAAAAAAAACTTATGAAAATGGACCATGTGGGTATATCATCCAATTTCATACAACAGTTGGTTATACAAGTTATATATCCCATGAATATCACCATGAAGATCCCATGAAATCATTAAATCCGCTATGGTGAATAGCCATTTTTACCGATCTCCCCCACTTCTTGGTTTCCCGCCCCACCACCATCCATCACTGAGAGCTCTCACCAGCGTAGGCTGTGGCAGCCTTGGAAAGATTCCCGCGGCGGGAGGGTAGTAATTAGAAACTTGGATGACTGAGCTATACAAGTTTGGTGAGTTGATCCCGGGAAAAAAGAATACTATATTTATCTATATTTCATATGATATACTGTACTAATTCACTTTATGAGTGACTAGTTTAACCATGATTTTTTTGAACCTGAGTTTTTCCAGGATGTCTGACCAGGGGTCAGAACGTCGTCCAAGCTGTGGAGTCCCATTGTCAGGAAGGCCGGGACAGCAAGCTCCACCCTTTTATGGTTTCCTATGGGAAATCACCATAAATCACCCATGTTTTACAGGTAAATCGAATCGAACTCAATGAGTCATTTTCCAGTTCGCAAACTGTGAAAAATTGCGTAGAAACTGGATGTGGGAAGCCATGGAAGCCATGGGTAGGCTGATTTTTCACGAATTAATTCCTCCAAGGTACCAAGGTTCAGAAACTTAATAAGAAGATGATCATTCTCACCAACCAGTAGCTCAGTAGCTCATATCCCAAGCAGCAATTATGGTACCCCCTGGTAAACTAACATAGCTATTGGAAATCACCATTTTGCATGGAAAAATCCACTATTTCAATGGCCATTTTCAATTTCGCAAACTGTAAACGTTTACCAGAGGGTATCATCGATTGATTTTCCCATTAATAGCATGGTGAATCTTTCCAGTTCGTTATGTAAACATTTACCAGAGGGTATATCCCATTCATATCCCATTGAATCAGTATAAAATCCCATTGAATCAGTATAAAATCCCATTAAATCAGTATAAAATCCCATAAAATCCCATATTTCATGACCATTGGTCCTTTATCAGGCTCTGACAAAATCCCATGCCATGGTGATGTGAAAATCCCGAGACTTCATCCAAGAGCCCGCTGGGATCATCGGATCATCGTGTGAATTTTCCACCAAAGGGATCCGAATCATTGGTGAAGATGGGTGAAATATACCCATGACCCTAGTTAACCATAGTTGTTACCCATAGTTAATGAAGAGTAACATATATATTCACCATAGTGTCTAGTCAGGCCAGAGTTGACGAACTTGATCACATTCCCATGATCAGTTTAATCAGCTTTACACCCCACAAGGTGGTGCCCCAGTTCGTTAGCTAAGTTGGTGCCAATAACTCCAATTTCACTATGGTTTATGGCAGATATAACTATAGTATTCATGGGGTTTATAAACCAACTTATAACTGGGGGGGCACCTTCCTGTAGTTAACCATAGTTATTACCCATAGTTAATGAAGAGTAACATATATTCACCATAGTTATTAACCTAATATAATCCTATTAAACATAGCTATAACCAGTGTCACCACCAACCAGTCATCCAAATAGGATTGTCCGTAACAAAACCATCGATTTTTTGGGGGGTATCCCCACAGAAAGCCCCATTTTGGAGATTTTCCCATTGCCAATCTTAGATACTCTGCAAAAAATGACAAATTCTTTGCTGGTGAACGTAGATATTCCAATGGATACAAAAAGACTAGTTAGGATTAAAGTACCCATGTAAGATTGACCTAGTAACCATGACATTCCATTTTTGGGATGATATCGGACTGAGTTGGTTGTTTACGCACGAAGCGGCGTAAAAACACAGCTGAAAGCTTCGGCCACATTTGAGTCGGGATGAGTCTCCATTTCTTTAAGCATCATTCCAGTGACAGTGAGGTCATGATCAAATTCATCCAGATATATTATCAATGGGAGATCTCCAGGATCCTAAAATGGAGGTACTGTATCATATAAGGCCATATTTTGAGGGTATATAGCCCTTACATAGGCCTTATATATGCTAGGTACCTCCAATCTAGGATCCTGAAATGGCCATTGATATTATCGCTATCACATGTTGTTGGTGATATTCTCCTGTGATATTCCCATTATATGTCCATTTTGTGTATCCCATTCATATCCCATCCCAACCCAGTAGAATTCCCCATGTAACCAATCAACCAGGCTAACCTTCCTAACCCATTCAACAATCCCATTCAACAATCCCTTCCTATACCCTTTGGTAAACTAACATAACTATGAAAAACCAGCATTTTTTTATGGCTAAGTCAACGAACGAAATGGCCGTGTTCAATAGCTACCGTTGAAAATAACCAGAGTGTAATCCCTATGTCATACCCTCTGGTAAACTAACAGTTTGCTATTGAAAATGGCCATAGAAATAGTTGATTGTCCCATTCAAAATGGTGGATCTTTCCGTAGTTTTTTGTATGTTAGTTTACCAGGCCGGGTAACCTACGGCTTATCATCCCCTTGGTGATCCCATTCCCTTCCACTCCATCTGGGGATCCAAACCCCATTGGCGATAACGGCGCTGCCCTCTCGCCGGGATAGCGCTTGGACCCAGATTTTTTCTTGGTTTCAAAGTGGGAAAATATCCATTCTGATACCATTCTGGAAATACAAATTGATCTTTTTTGGGAATTTGGGGGGTACTATCCACCCTATTTTTGCCAATTTCAGATCGTTTAAAGCAAAGCTCACGGGAAAGTACAGAAAGTGTCCTGCTTTCGAACTAAAAAAAAATGGACCAACGGTGCCAAGAAACAGCACCACTTTGGGCCTAGGCAGGCTGGCCGGAACCCCCGGAAAGCAGCATCCGAACATCCGGAAATCCATCGCTTCAGGAAACTCATCTGTGAATGTGGTAAACCAAATTATAAATCATTAAAAAAATAACCATAAATGGATGGTATAAACCATCCCCAGTAGGTTTACGGCTTGTATAGGTTTATGGCATTGGGCCAAAAAATGAATGGGCATAGATTGTGGATGTCTTTGTCCATTTTGAGAAATCTACCACAACCCCCACCTTCATGACTCAGTTTTTTGCCGGCGTTCTGCATCTCAATTTGCAGGAACTGCTTAGCAGAACCCGCGAAGCCGAGAGTAGCAGTTGACTTTCCCCAAACGGGTATCAAAATGAGGACGTGTCCACCGAAATCGTGAATATGAAGCAGCTAAAATTGAGATCCAACACACAGTAGTGAACAATCTACAACTTCTAGATGAAACACCTCGAAATCGGGAGCGTTTTTCAATGTCCTACTTCCAGATCAACAGCAACCAATTGAAATCTAACTCTTCTGAAGCCGGGCAGATCCGCACGACAAAATTGATCGCCGGATAGCAAACACGACCAGCCATAAAGAAGATGTAGATATGCATAATTTCTGTATACGATGGGTATATTATGGTATATTTACATATTTGTGTATATGTATATGTATATCTATGTGTATATATATATATGTTAGAAAGAATATGAGCATCAAGTAGATCCGAATGTCCAACCACCAAAAAGCTCAACAGGGATGACACCCATGGGAGATCTAGATCGGAAGCTGCACAGTTCTTGCTGCGCCAGGGGCGTCACCCAGGAAACCCAGACGTGTCTGAAAATGGTGGTACTTGGTGTCTCATCCCACGAATCGTAAGTGGGTTATAACCCCAGTGATTTCAGTGGATTAACCCTACAAAAATCCCATTTATAACTGGGGTTATAACCCACTTACTAAGGCCCCCCAGTTATAAGTTGGTTATAAGCTCCAGTAACTATAGTTGTAAGTACCATAAACCATAGTGAAATTGGAGTTATAAACCAACTTGGCTATCTTGGGGGCCTCACATTGTGGTATACCTCCAAAATGGTGTTCAAGAAGGGGAAGATGGTGATTAACTGATTCACATTAACCATCAAATTTTTAGGAGTAGCCTATTTTTGAACACGCAAAAGCCATCCTTTGTTTGGGATTCTATGGAATGTTTTTACCAGGACCGATCCCTTGGCCATCCTTGGCCGATAGATGATAGGATCTATCATGATGATAATCTCTGTGTTCAAAAGCAATTCCTTGGCAGACACAATTTCCAGATCCCAAAAATTGCATGGAAAAATCAGGGTCAGTTTTTGGAAATTGCTAAATTTTGAGGATCCCACTTTTTGCTCGCTGGTTGATAGCTATGTCTGTCAACGATGGGTTGGTGAACACGATCGTAATTAGGTTGCTAGAAGGCTATTTCATCACCAATCAACACAGGTGTTAGGTTCCATGATGGTTCCATGTTAGTTGTAGTTTGAAGGGGAACTAAATATTATAGCGCTCTTTCAAGCCATCTGTTGAGGACACTCCCATGCTTGCCAGAAAAGCGTACCATGTGTTACTCAGAAGGAATATGCCAATCAAGATTTGCAGGGTTCTTATATCATCTTCTGTAGATTCGTAGATTTCTTCATCAACACCATCGGAAGATTGACCAAGAATACTGTCAACCCCGGATTAATAAAACATGGTTTATTAAATAGGGGGGTACCCCTCCAATAGTCATAATATGATACTTAAATGGTACCCTCCCAATTCAACAATCGTTTGGGGTTTATTAATCCGGGGTTGACATTACTGTGAAATCTGTGAATGTGTCAAGCTTCTGTAACTCGCCACTTGGATTCCGTTCCCGCAGCGACGACCCCACCGGTGTCACCCACCGGTCACTCTCGACTGGTTCCATTGGCTTTTCGCCATCTCTCACGAGCTTCCTGCAGGGCCAATCAGGCACGCATGGTGGTAGCTTCAAAGTCAAATCCTGCTAGAACTCCCGAAAATTGACCAAATCAATGGAGGCTTTAAATGGAAAATCAACTGTCATACTGTAAAACACAACATAAATGGTGGATTTTGTCCCGCGTTTGACACCAGAGGCGATCCCAATTTTGTCACCGAAACATCTGTGATTCACTTCCCTCTCCCGGATTCAAGGACCGAACCGGTCACCAACAAACGCAGGGGTTTAACAAAAGTTCTGAACGTCACCAGTAGGGATTGGTGGCGAACTACCCACGAATCGTAAGTGGGTTCGTTCACCCCAGTGATTTCAGTGGATTAACCCTACAAAAATCCCATTTATAACTGCAGGATGGTGCCCCCCAGTTATAAGTTGGTTTATAAACCCCATGAATACTATAGTTATATCTGCCATAAACCATAGTTATTGGAGTTATAAACCAACTTAGCTAACGAACTGGGGCACCACCTTGTGGGGTTATAACCCACTTCCGATTCGTGGGTAGTTCGCCACCAAGTAGGGCTTGGTGGCTCCACCACATTCCCAAATCACGGTGAAAAACGGGTCAAAATCTAGGGCCCCCAGCAAGCGAGTCGCGTGCGAAAAACAAAAAAAGGTGGCGTTTCATTAACTCTGGTTTCTGGTAGATACAACTAGAGTTACTCTCTGGTAATTTGTTACATAGCTATTGAAAATTGCCATAGAAATAGTGGATTTTCCCATTAATCATGGTGATTTTCCAGTTCGCTATGCTAAATTACCAGAGGGTATTTCTGGTAGATACAATTAGAGTGATATAAAATGGAGGTTTTCTAAAAAAACTATGGTTTCCCATTTCACTATGGTTTATGGCAGATATAACTATAGTATTCATGGGGTTTATTAATAAACCAACAAACATCACTGGGGCCCATCCTCTGGGGCACCCTTTCTGTGGGGATCTCTGCTGACTCCCACGCTTTGACGCGCCGACGCGCCGACTCCTGCTGCCACTGCTGGCGCATCTGTTGCTCGTGTCGATGTCGACTGTTGGCCGTCCAACCTCTCCATGACCTTCATTGAAATAGCAACGGTACCTGTTATGAGATGTTTTTTTGGTCAAAAGCCTGGTACCCGGATGGTACACCCATGAGTATAGCTGTTTTTTCTTGGATGTTTGTTTCCCCAAAATATGGAAATAATAGGTGTTGAATGGTTGTGAACCATCCCCAAATACCAGATCTCGCCAGGACACTGCCACACAAATCCGTCGGCCGACTCCTGGAACATTTTTGTCGACGTCGCGGGTGACGTCGCAGGTGGGGATGCACAAAAACACATATTGGTCGGACCGGACTTCAAACAGATGCGGTGCCTCAAACTTGATTTACATTTAAAAAAAAAGAAGTTCATCCAAATATGATGCAATGTGAGGCCCCCCAGTTATAAGTTGGTTTATAAGCCCCAGTATCTATAGTTATAAGTACCATAAACCATAGTTATTGGAGTTATAAACTAACTTAGCTAACTATGGGGCCTCACATTGTGGGATATTAATTAGTGGGACGTAAATCTGATATAACAGAATTTTGGGTGTGTCGTTCATCAACATATGATATATTTGCTGATGAATTTCGCATGAAGAACCGGTACCTCTCCATACAGACCAACTTGGCTCAGTAGGCACCACATATCAACCTAGTTAAGTATATCATATCTACCATAAAGAATCCTCAAACAAAACTAGTTCACCTACTTTCTTGCAGGGACTACTGCCATTTTTTGACTACATAGGCCTAGGGTCCCAACCATTTTGGATGAAAATCTGAATTACTGTACCAACCAGTTGGCAGCACTTAAATCCACCATGCTTGGTACGGGCCCCCATATGGCCCCATATCCTCACTTGTAGAGCTATTACAATATTTATACCCACCTCATGATGAACCATGTTAAACCCATATTAACCACCATGTTAAACCATTTTTACCCCATATTAGCCATGCTTAAGATGTGGGTATTATGAATACTATACATATATATAATGGGATGATGAATATCTAATAATCAGCTTTTAATTACTTGGTACATTAACTGCATGATCCTAAACCATTAACCCCATCATCCAATGAGTAAATCAGCTAAATAGTGGATGTTGATCAACTCATAACATGGTCCGTCTGTGATCGTCCACGAAAATAGCATGTCATCTGGTTGGTGGTTGAGCCCTACCCCTCTGAAAAATATGAGTTCGTCAGTTAGGATGATGACATTCCCAATGTATATGGAAAGTCATAAAATTCCATGGTTCCAGTCACCACCAACCAGATATAATAAGTGGCTTTGGAGGTTAATGAAGTTAATACCCATACTAATCCTTGGATTCCATAGGTACCCCCACCATTTTAGGAAGCCCCTAGGCCCTAACCATTGTAGTCATGGTCAATCTTTGATCGTTCATTCATAGCAAAAGACTCAAGGATCAACTTTTCCATCCAGTCGGCTAGGGATGAAATGGTGATCCTTTAGCGGTGCAAAGCCCTCATGCTCTGCTGATAGTACTGATTAGCACATGATCTACGGAAAATTTATCATGATACCCCAAGGATAAATCAAGATAAATCACTTAGCTGATAGCCATAGTTGCCCTAGGCTAAACCTTTAGATAGATGCGGAAAACATTGGCAAACCATGGAAAACCCATAGTTTCCCCATGGTTTCGTCGTCTACAAATGGTGGTGAGTACCCACCATTCGCTCCTCGGTGTGGCCCAGCAAGAGCGAGCTGCCCAGCAGTCGCTGTTGGCCCAGTTGCTCCCGGGTCGTCCTGGAAGGTAGGCAGCTGGGATGGTGAAGAACTGTTCTTTTGGGATATCTCACTGGGAACATACAAAAAAACTATAGAAAATCACGATTTTTAAAGGGTAAATCCACTATAAATCACAAGTTTCAATAGCGAACTGTTAAATTACCAGAGGCTATTCCGATGTTTTGAGAAAATGATGACTGGTTGGTGGTGCAATAACCATCTTTAAAAATATGAAAGTCAATAGGAAGGATTATCCCATATATTATGGAAAATAAAAGCCATGTTCCAAACCACCGACCAGAAAATCTTCACCGGAAAGCCTGATGAACTCATTTCATGCGGAAAAACGAGATGGTTAACCCGGTGAAGTTTTTCCACCAATCCAGTGAGAGATATGATAGGGATATAAATATGATTATGGTATACATGATAATGAAAAATTCTGCAACATGGAACTGCTTTTTATGATAGGGTATATCTTATAAAGAATTGGATACGCATGTATCATATATCCATTTTCATTTTTTGTATTTATATTGTTTCATTTTTTGTATTTATATTGATATGATGATGAATATAAGAGAAATAAATAAATAAATGAATATATATATATATATAAATAAAAAAAAATAAATAAAGAAATAAATAAATAAATAAAGAAATAACTAAATAAATAAAAAAATATATATATAGATCAATAATAAATAAATAAAGAAAGAAAGAAAGAAAGAAATATATATAAATCAATAATAAATAAATAAATAAATAAAGAAAGAAAGAAATATATATATATAAATCAATAATAAATAAATAAAGAAAGAAAGAAATATATATATATAAATCAATAATAAATAAAGAAAGAAAGAAATATATATATATATATATATCAATAATAAATAAATAAAGAAAGAAAGAAATATATATATATATATCAATAAATCAATAATAAATAAATAAATAAAGAAATATATATATATAATCAATAATAAATAAAGAAAGAAAGAAAGAAAGAAATATATATATATAAATCAATAATAAATGAATAAATAAATAAATAAAGAAATAAATAAAGAAATATATATATAAATCAAAAATAAATAAAAAAAGAAAGAAAGAAAGAAATATACATATATATAAATCAATAATAAATAAAGAAAGAAAGAAAGAAAGAAAGAAATATATATATATAAATCAATAATAAATAAATAAATAAAGAAAGAAAGAAAGATATATATATATAAATCAATAATAAATAAAGAAAGAAAGAAATAAATATATTATATATATATAAATCAGTAATAAATAAATAAAGAAAGAAAGAAATAAATAAATATATATATATAAATCAATAATAAACAAATAAATAAGGAAAGAAAGAAAGAAAGAAAGAAATAGTGGGAAATGATTCACCAATTCTCCAAGAAATCCGATGCGCGCTCCTCACTTCCTCACTGCGAGCCTCAGCATATGCCTTGAACCACCTGCGGTTTTTTGGCTCAGGCTGGTGGTGGGAATGGGTGATCTTACCCTTGGTATTTCAAACATGATTTACCCTCTGGTAAACTAACATAGCTATGGAGAATCACAATTTTTCATGGGAAAATCCACTATTTCTATGGCCATTTTCAATAGCTACGTTAAATTACCAGAGGGTAAAGATCCATCATCCATTTCCATCCGTAAGATATATAGAGAGTTCGCTATGGAAAATTACCGTCTCTAGTGGGTAGATCTATATTGTAAATGGGCCGTGCTTCATGGCAAACAGTTCAATTACTAGAGGTAAAGTTTGGGTTGAAAAATGAAAATGCATAAACAAAATCGATAATTCTATACATGTATATACACATAATTGGGGTGCCCTGTCGTGAGTGGGATCTATCTAACAAGTAAAGTGATAAGGTAACAATCACCCACAATAATACAACGTTGAATATTTCTTACCTCATTACAATTGACCCAAACAGAGGGTCAACATTGGACCATGTGACCCTGTCCCGAGAGCCAGGCCTCGTTCGAGCGTCTTCTTGGCATTCTCTGACGCCGCTGATGGACTTCTGCTGTAGCTTCTCCAGGAGTGGAGACACTGAGCCTTGGGGGTTCGCAATTTGGATCCACACATCATCTGGTTGGTGGTTTTAACCATCTTGAAAAATATTAATCAATGGGACGGATTATCCCATATATTATGGAAAATAAATTACTTTACTTCGTGTGATCCCCACCGTGACATTTTTACATTTTCTTACTGGCAAATCTTCTGGCATTCTATCTGACATATCTTCTGGCATTCTATCTGGCAAATCTTCTGGCATTCTATCCGGCATATCTTCTGCATTCTATCTGACATATCTTCTGGCATTCTATCTGGCATACCTTCTGGCATTCTATCTGGAATATCTTCTGACATTCTATCTGGCATATCTTGTGGCATCTATCTGGCATATCTTCTGGCATATCTTCTGGCATATTATCTGGCAAATCTTCTGGGGTTCTATCTGGCATATCTTCTGGCATATCTTCTGGCATTCTATCTGGCATATCTTCTGGCATATTATCTGGCACTGGCATATCTCATGAGGTCCGGCAGGGAACACTGGGCGTGGATGGTCGTGGTTGAGGTCCGGCAGGGAACACTGGGCGTGGATGGTCATGGTTGAGGTCCGGCAGGGCACACTGACGTGGATGGTCGTGGTTGAGGTCCGGCAGGGAACACTGGGCGTGGATGGTCGTGGTGGAGGTCCGACAGAGGACACTGTGGATCGCGAGTCGCAGTTGAGCAGGAGGACGAGGAGGACAACGAGAGGAGGAGGAGGAGGAGGACGAGGAGGACCAGGCAACTGACATAAAATCTAACAACCCTCACCTGGCAGGTGGGGAAAAATGTTCCAAACCACCAACCAGTTGTAGTTCAGCCATGTATAGATGGGATACGCCACTTCAAGACATGGATGTTGGCAGGGTCAATTGGTCAATCCGAGCTACTTGCGGTGAACAAACCTGAAGTAAGGCACTAGATGCAAGACGCCGTCCCATGCGCCGCGAAAATCGATGCTCATAGTATCTAATAGTCTACTTTTTTTGCTGTGAGTACAGTCTTGTGTCACTACGGGCAGTAGCTTCTACAATATTCTTGGATTTGCTTAACGGAACCACAAATAAAACATATTCAGGATTTTCCATTGGGAATATCAAAAATCACCGACTAAACAAACCCAGGTATTACAATGTTAATATTACAATCTGGTTGGTGGTTTCAACCCCTCTGAAAAATATGAAAGTCAGTTGGGATTATTATTCCCCATATATGGAAAGTCATAAAATTCCATGGTTCCAGTCACCACCAACCAGCATATATTAATCATTGATTATCATTATTAACCATTATTAACCACTATTAACCACTATTAACCATTATTAACCACTATTAACCACTATTAACCATTATTAACCACTATTAACCACTATTAACCATTATTAACCATTATTACCATTATTAACCACTATTAACCACTATTAATTATATATATATACTATAATCCAAACCACCAACCAGATGTTTTACAATGTTCTACACTTTGGGCCACAACTTCCAGCAGATGGACGTCCTGCCGCGGACAGTTCTGCGACAAAAAAATGGTCCCTTTTTTCTACCGAACTTTCGTAAGGGATTCCCTTTGACATGCATTTCAAATAGATAGTCTGGCTTTCAGATCCTCAAAAATATTGCCAAAAGAGTTTGACTCTTTAGAAGTTTCCCAAAATTTCGGGTACCCCCAAATCACCCTAAATTAGACTATTTGAGTATTGAAACCCATCGTGTTGGAGATCCCCCCATTGGAAAAAAATCCCCATATGGCTACATGAACAGCTGCCCAACTTTGGAGTGCGGGACATGGACAGAACCAACAAGGCCAAATCCCAGCATTGATCAACAGACCATGAAGGTTTTGACTTGGAATCACTTCGCTATGGGGTCCCAGAATAGTCATGACGAAATTGAAATGGATCCTTCACATCCTCAAAAGTGCTGGGTTTTGTTGACATCTTGGGTTTGATTAACCTCCCATTCTTGGATTATTGGAAGGGCGCCATTGCCGAGGCACCATATGCCTGACGTTTGCCAGAATAGTGGAAGTCCCTGAGGCACGGAGGCGGGAAGGCGATGCCAACCAGTGAATCAAACCCAAAAAAACTGTCAACAAAACCCAGCAATTTGGTTGACTGATGAAATTTTGGATGTTTTCGGTTAATCAAACCATAGTTTTTGGTTAATCAAACCATAAACTGATGAAACCAGAGTTTTTGCGCAACATAAAACTTGGCACGTCGAACGAAAATGGCTCTGCCATGGATAAAACTCAGCAGTGGCTCCAGAATAAAAACTGGGACGAGCACTTTCTTTGTCAAGGTGGAGTTCGGTTCATAAAAACCATGGGAAAACCATGGGAAAACCATGGGAAAACAATGGGAAAACCATGGGAAAATGGTGATTTACATGGGAAAACCATGGTGATTTTATGACCCAACAAACCAAAAATTTTGGATTACCCTCTGGTAGACTAACATAGCTGGCAAGTGTTTTTCTGTTTGAAAATAGGTGTCAGTATCCATTGGTTTTCACGTGTTTTCACCAGTTAAAAAACATGTAAACCCTCTGGTAAACTAACATAGCTATGGAGAATCACAATTTTTCATGGGAAAATCCACTATTTCTATGGTCATTTTCAATAGCTATGTTAAATTACCAGAGGGTATGGATGTTTATGGTAGGCATATATCTATAGTTGATGGGTTGTTTGAAACCAATTTAAAACTGAGGGGGCCGCACCTCGGACCTTGTTTTATCCTGTTAAAACCATTCGAAACAGCGGTTTTGTACCCAACGCGTCAAATTGTTTTCGACACCAAACCAATGGCCATGTCAGTCTCTGATAATAGTTCCTTCAATGCTTTCACGTCTCACATCAAAATAAAGGGTTTGTCTGATCGTCGGGTACCACTAATTATCTGGAGTTTTCCTAAACAAATGGGTGCCCCCAAATCATCCAAGAATGGACCATTTAGTATCGAAACCTGTGGTGACTTGGGGGTCCACCATTTTAGAAACCTCCATCTGTCGTCGCCTGTGGGTCTCGGGGTGCAGCGACGACACCAGGGTGCCACGGGCCGTGAGCTGCGACCGCGGCGTCACGGAGTTATCCAGTGGCACCGGGGCAGCCTTAGATGGGATCATTGTCAAAGTATATCATAGTAATACCAGAGTGATGATAAAACTCATGGTGATGATGATGATGATTGATGATGATTGTTGATTGATGATGATTGATGATGAATGATGATTGATGAATGATGATGATTGATGATGATTGATGATTGATGATGAATGATGATTGATGATGATTGATGATTGATGATGATTGATGATTGATGATTGATGATTGATGATGATTGATGACTGATGATGAATGATGATTGATGATGATTGATGATTGATGATGACTGGTGATGATTGATGATTGATTGATGATTGATGATTGATGATGATTGATGATTGATGATGATTGATGATTGATGATGATTGATGATGATTGATGATGACTGGTGATGATTGATGATTGATTGATGATTGATGATGATTGATGATTGATGATTGATGATGATGATGATGACGATTGATTTATTGATTGATTGATTGCTTGACTGATTGATTGATTGATTGATTGACTGATTGATTGATTGATTGATTGGTGATTGATGATGATATATGGTGATGATGATGATGATGCTGATGATGATATATGATGATATATGATGATATATGGTGATACATGATGATATATGATGATATATGATGATATATGATGATATATGATGATATATGATGATAAATGATATATGATGATATATGATGATAATATGATGATAATATGATGATATATGATGATATATGATGATATGTGACGATATATGATGATATATGATGATATATGATGATATATGATGATATATGATGATATATGATGATATATGATGATATATGATGATATATGATGATATATGATGATAATATGATGATAATATGATGATATATGATGATGCTGTGATGATGCTGTGATGATGCTATGATGATGCCATGAATTATAAATATCACATGTTTAAAAACGATTATCGTTTGTGATGATGATGATGTTGCTGTATGATAATTGACAGTTTATATATTATGATATTTGATATGTGATATATGATATGATATTAAATGATATTATATATGTGATATTTTACTACATGATATTAAATTATAGTATAGTATATTATATTTTTTCAAATATGATATTATAGGTCGTAATATACCCTATTATATTATATTTTAGTATAGTTTATCTTTAAAAATGGTTATATTAATATCATATCATATCAAATTATAAGTATCAAATACTGAATTACAAGTATTGTCTTTTATGATGATGATGATCATGATGATGATGATCATGATCATGATCATGATGATGATTATGACGATGATCATAAGACATTGAATTATAAGTATCAAATGCTCGATTACAATTATGATCATGAGACAATTATCGCCTATTATCGTTTACAGTATTCTTATTATCAATATTGCTGGCGACAATGATCTTGATATCACTGTATCACTAAATTAAACATCTTAATGAAGGTTAAAGCCTTTGGAAAATGATGATAGCCGAATATAATGGAAATACTTCGGTCATAAATTACATTGGGATTCATAGAATTCATATGACTAGCGAGAACGATAATAGTGGCAGTACTAGAATTATTGGTAATAATTATGGTTGGAAATGGCAATAACAAGAAGCATCATCATCACTATCACCATGCTGCGCATGCTGCCATGATCAAACCAACACTTGCGAGTACATTGTACCTTCAAAGATGCCTAAAATATCCCAAGTTGTGAGAAGATTTGTTCCATGGTTCTACTGACTGAGATTCTCAAGATATCAAGACACCCTAAAATGCCTAAAAAACACTCCATAGCAGGCAGCCTGATAGAATGTACTGGATCTGTGAAAATGCCCTTTTTGGAGGGCTTATCCAAGACATCTGTTTTTTCAGGGGGATTCACCAGACCTTGGACCTGAAAGTCTCGGGGAAAGCCTGGGAAAACCACATATCCTGACCTGAGAAAATGACCAGGAAAATTAAGGATACCATTTATATCCTGACCAAATTTTACCATATTTAAGTACCATATATCCTGGGAAAACCATATATCCTGACCATAATGAACTGCGAAAATTACCCCGATGTCGGACATGAATATCGATTCCCGAGTTAAGGGATTTTCGCTTCCATAAATGGTGTCAGGGAAAAACTAATGCTTATGGTCCATGTTGGAATCATCATCATTGTCGTCGTCGTCCTCATCATCATCATCATCATCATTCACTATCTTTTTGTACCAACAACTGGTCGGTGGTGTGAAAACCTCTGCATCATCCTGGGACGGGGGAATGTCCGGGAATGGGAATGGGACAATCCAAGTTTTCTACCCTCTGGTAAACTAACATAGCTATTGAAAATTGTGATTTATAGTTGGTTTTCCCATTAAAAATGGTGATTTCCCATAGCTATGTTAGTTTACCAGAGGGTACCCCCAATGTTTGGTTGGCGAAAATTCCCCGGTTTTTGGCCAACCAGCTTCCCTGGAGAATATCCCCTTCCCGCGATGCAGCTGCGTCACACCGAGCTTTTGCCTCGCAGAGCCCAACTGGAAGGTTCCTGGATACCTCAGGCAGTGACCGCGGAGAGCTCAGCATCTCCAGAAATCTCAAGATCTTTGCAATTGTCTTTTCAAAAGGAGATATACATGTATTGATACATATATATATATACTGACACACACACATATATATATATATACACATACATATATACATATATATAATATCATACATATATATATATGTATATATATATATATATTGTGTATATATATATATATATATTGTATATATATATATGTGTAAATGCTGTGTAAATGATCTAGCACATTATATGCTGCCCCGGCACGGCACCGCAGTCATCGCGGCCCCAACTCTTCACGGCGCGCTGTGGGTCGAAACGGAAGCGAAAACGGCCATGGTACCTACCCAACTTCAAAATAGCTGGTGAATAGATGTGAATAACCCACTAAAAATGGTATTTTCATAGGTATTGATCCATACCCATATTAACAACCCCATGTATATTACCCATTGATAGTCATAGGTTCTGACCCAACCCCATGTATATATATATATATATAGATAGATAGAATTATATATATACACACATAACCAACAATATGATTTTGCTGTTGTAAAAACTCCTGCAGTAAAACCATGTATCATATATGTCATCGTACTACTCTGTAGCGTTGGTTCAAAACAGTGCCAGCAGCTTAGCGGTTACTTGCCCCCATTGTTATTGTAACATATTGGTGGCTGACCTTGTAAAATACAGGTTATCAGCCGTAGTCTCACTACTTTGCTATGGGGACCCCAATTGACCATCCTCTCGCCGTTCCAGGGTCAGGTCCATCGGCTGTCGCTGTGCCCAATGTGGCCAGGGGCAACCCCGAGCCGATGGATGACGAGACAATGTTCCAACCCGTTGTTGCGTACTTTACCTTCATACAAAACAACCTGTCCCAGATTACTAGTGGGAATACCCTGCAAGTCATGAGGGAAGCTGAACAGAGGCACCTTCAGATAATGCATGGAGCAGTTGACTCTATTCGAAACGAATGGTCAAGTAGACTCGTAATGCAAGAGCAGGAGTATGAGCAAAGGCTGCAGGAGGTTGAAGGTAAGGCCATTAGTGCCCTCAACGAGGAGAGGAAACGAGGCGACGAGATGGAGGTCAGGTTGAATCAGGCTCAGGCATCGCATGACAAAAGAATAGAGGATGTTAAGGCAGAGGCAAACACAAAGCATGATCAGAAAATTGCAGAGGAAAGGCAACGTATCACTAGTGAATTCGAAGCTTCCTATGCACAAACAGTTGAACATGCAAAGAATGCCATAGCTGCCACAAAGAAGCAATATGAAGATCAGGCTGCAATTGATCAGGCCAGGTTCATCAGTTTAAGGACCGAGTTCGAGAACTACAAGAAGGAGATGGCCGACAAGATCAACGAGGCAGCGGCTCAGAACCTTAGCCTTCAGGACCAAATCGATGACCTTCAGGAGCAGTTAAAGCATGTTGCCAAAGCGCAGCATGCCTCCGTTCCGAAAGCATCCGTCCAGAACGCCGAGCCGGCCGCTACCACTAGCGTGCCCCACTTCAATATTGCCACTCCCAAAGCATCCGATGCACAGGCTGCCAAAGGCAGTGATGAGCCGATTCATGAGTTGAAAACGCCTGCAGTGTTGGCACAAGAAGCAAAGGCCAAGTTGGATGAGCTGCTCAAAGGTGGCAGTCCCAAGCAAAAGCCGGCTGTCGGCAACGACCAGCCCCAATTGCCAACGCAGTCAGGGTTTTTCACTCCCACTGAAGCTATCAAAACTCCCCCAAATGACTCCCCCAAGAGCGTAACCAAGCAACAGCAAGTGATGGGTCCCTCAGATCTTATTGAATTGGTGAAAGCCTTAACCCAAAGGGAAGAAAAGGATAAGCCAAAAACTAAGGAGGCCGAAATCATCAAGCTGAACAACATGCCCGCTCCGGAGTCGTATAGGACTTGGAAGAATCATGTCAGGGATGAAGTGAAAAGCTGTTCAGATCGCCCAGATGAGGCGTGGCTCTGGCTCAACGAGGTGTACGATCAAGAGTGCACCAGAGAGCAGTTGGAGAAGAAACTCCAAGATCCTGGAAAGTTCCTCACGCTGGATACAAAGTTATCAGCAGCGCTCACACGCTCAGCCGGAGGGGACCTCGCAACTAGGATCTTGAATTTCAAGGAGCAGCAATCCCGAAAAGGCATCCAGGTCAGGGGAAGGTATGTTCTGCTCATGTTTGAGGACTACTTCAAGACATCAGAAGAAGCAGGTAGCCTTTACAGAGTAGAAGATCTTTTGGGTGTTGTCAAAGTAGGCGATACTGTCCAGGATCTCCGAAGATTCATCAACAAATGGGATGCTACCCTAGCTGGCATGGCTGTCACCCCCGATGATGCTGTGTTAAGGGACATCTTGTTGAGGCAGATCCGACCAAGTCAGTTGCTGAAATATGACATCGAGATGTTTGACCGTGCACATGAGAAATCCCATGAAAAGTCTTATAGTTTTCTTCACCAATCCATGAAGAACTTGATCGATCGTGAACGATTGAGGGAGAACAGGAACCGCATCGCGGAGAAGAACAAGGCTGGGATCAAGGACACAAAGGCCGCACCTGCCAAAGGCGATGGTCGCGGTGGCCGAAAGGGCTCTCCAAGTCGTGGTAGATCGCAGGAACGAGGTGGCAAAGGTGACAAGATTTGCTATAAGTTCCAAAAGGGTACCTGTGATAAGGGGAAGAAGTGTCCATTCAAGCATGTCAAAGATGACAAATCTCGAACTCAATCACCCAGAAGAACCAAAACACGTTCACCATCAAGGGGCAATAAAGATGATAAGGGGAAGAAGATGTCCAAGGAAGAGATGGCCAAAACCCCATGTATCTATCATGCCCAGGGAAAGTGCAGACGTGGTGACAAATGTTTTTATAAGCATGATGACAAAGCCGCTGCCGCCACCAAAGACACCAAAAGGGCCAATTCACCCGCTCCCAAAAGAAGAGCAAGGATTCCACAGCCGCTCCATGCCTGATCCAGAAGTTTGCATGCATCGTCCGAAAACAGCCGAAGGCAACTTCGTGCTCTGATGAGTCAAGTGTCAGCATGAAGCGCCTAAGATTCCGAAAGGCCCCACATGTGATCGAGGTGAAAGCAGTTGGTCGTCAAGTCCCAGTCAAGCACCGTCCAAGAGAGTTCACTAAGGTGTACAAGACAGCTGAAGATGTTCCGGTTTCATCCAAGGTTGAACAGCATGAGGCTCAGGTTCGTGCAAGACAGCTTCAAGAAACTGTGAAACTTCATGATTCAAATGTTGCACCTAGTTGTGGGTTTTGTTGTTGGAATGAGGACACACGTGACATCACATGCAAAGAGTGCAGGTTCGTCAGCGGTCCCAAAGCTCTTATAGAGACATTGGTCGTTTCCCGTCAATTGCCACAGCTGCGCCAAAGGCCGGCGTTAGTTGGCTTGTCGACTCAGGTAGTGAATCCGATCTTGTGTCCAAGGGTATGTTGAGGGATGTTAGTGCCAAGAACTGCCGTGCAGCCGAGCATCCGATTTCCTTAGTCACAGCCAATGGTTCGACCGAGGCCAATGAGGTTGCTGATGTCAAGTTGTCCGCATTGCCAGATCCTGTGCATCCGTATGTACTTGATCATACCCCAGCTGTGCTCTCCGTAGGAACAAGATGTGTAGATCAGGGTTACAGTTTCGTATGGCCTGCCAATGGCAAACCAATCCTAGTCCGTCCAGATGACAAGGTCGTCCAGCTCAAGATCGAAGGTCATGTCCCAATCTTGGATGATAGTTGCAAGGTTTATCCCAAAGATCAATTTCAGAAGGATAAGCACCTCAAAAAGTTGTTTGCAATGCCGACCTCACGGTCGAGCTCGAAAGCCAAGCGGGACGAAGCCCAAGATGAAGAGCAATTGGACGAGCTGGTGGAGGATGACGCTCAGCAGGAGTACATCCGAAGCCGCAAGACTGAGGATCTGCTGGCTGATGCTGCAAGTACCCAACATCAGTACACTCATTTCCCCAAGAACCCCTTTTGCAGAACCTGCCAACGAGCAAGGATGATGGCACCTCAGGCACGAAAGAAGGGTGGTCAGAAGAGAGTTGAAACTGAAGAGTTTGGTGACCACATCATTGGGGATCATGTCATCATCAAGAAAAACGTAGAAGAGGGTTTCAGGGGGGAGCAAGTTGCATTGGTGTTGAAAGATCTGCACACCCAATATCGGTATGTCTACCCTAGCCAGTCCAAGGACTCACAAAGCTGTGTTGATGGTTTGAATCACTTCATTGGATCAAAGGATGATGTTCAAGTTGTGTACACTGACAATTCCCCAGAATTGATCAGGGCCATCAAGGATTTGGGTTACAGACACCAAACTTCCATTGAATATGTAGATTCATCAAAGTCTTTTGCTGAGCGCGAAGTTCGTCAGATGTTGGAAGGTGCCCGGAGCAACTTGTTGCAATCAGGACTTCCTTTGAAGATGTGGCCATTGGCCATGCAGCATCATGCGACCGCGATCAATGCAAGCCCCCAGCTTGACGGCAGTGAATCCCCATGGCAACTCAGGTTTGGTGAAGAGTTCCCTGCTATGCACATTCCATTTGGTGCCAAAGTGTTGTTCTGGAATAACCCCAAGAGGTTGGATAACACATCAGGTAAACTCTCCCCAACAGCAAATGAAGGAATTTTCCTTGGGTATTACATCCAACCAGGTCATGATTGGAAGGGTGAATACTTAGTTGCCAAGTTGGAAGCTGCTGATTATCATGTCAACTGGGGTGCACTGACAATCCAAAGAACAAAGAGGTTGGAATTGCCATCCGAGGGTTTCATCTTTCCTTTGAAAGCTCTGATTGACTCGAAAGCACCCAAAGCCGATCGCCTCGAGGACCAGGTCATTCCGCAGACACCCAAAGCTGTGCCACTTGAGTCCAGTTTGCATCCGCCACAAGATGAGTATGAATACGAGCCAGGAACGCCTCTGCCAGCCGACAGCGATGTCGAGCCTGATGCACCCGAAGCGCCCGTATTTCCAGATCTCAAATTGACCCCCAAAGGTGAAATTATTCCAGATGGACATCATTGGGATGGTCACCGGATTGTACGTAACTATAAAGGTTCAAAGCGTCCGGAGGGGATCGACTCAGAACTGTGGAAGATGTTAGGACCCCAAGATAGGAAGTTGATCATCGAGGAAGAAGCAAAGAAAGCAGCCAAGGAGCAGGAGGAAAAGCCAGCATCGTCATCTGGCAGCAAGGGCAAAAAGAAGAAGTCTTCACCGGCCCGGCTTGAGGCAACTCAATGCCCTCCTGCAACTGCAAAGCTCGTAGGCAATGTTTGGGAAATTATTCCAGCCACTTCCCAAAAGTT